GGCTGGCCTGCACTAAGCAGAGTAAATAATACTCTAATCTCAAAAACGTAATTTTGAAGGTTTCCAAGCATTTTGGACATCGAATTCAACAATAATTACTGGCAAACATTGCACACTTCCAATGGCACTTTCCACTTCTTCGGGGCCTATTTGGACAAGAGGAAAAACAACAGATTGGGGCCCACGGTACGCGTTCTGGGCATGATCGATCGGATCGAACCGACTGTGATAACGCATTGTCAATTCTGGTTTGACGGCAAGAAGGAACCTGTGATAGCTAAGAGCTTCGAGTATAAATATATTTGGTAAGTGGAACTGAAACATTCAGTTTGAATGCGCCAATTTACCAAACCCCGTTTGCCAGGTATAAGAAATGGGGGAACTACAAGCAGGGCATCTTCCAGCCATATCTCACAGCCTGCGTGATACCCCAAAAGTACAACAGTCTTGTGCCACAGTCCATTTCTCTAGTTGAGAAGCCCTGTGATAATTCCACCAATAATTTGAGGGTTATTTACGATGCGCCAAAAGAGAAAAAAGATTTTGCAGTTTGTGTTAAGGTAAGAAGCTCCGTTCTCCTGCCGTTCGAAAGAAGAAGCTCTTACAGTGTAGTCAATAAACTGAGGTGCTTGTTTGCAGGGTCTAGACTTTCTACATGAAGATCTATCGGTCAGGCTGGTCGAATGGATTGAGCTGTTGAATCTGTTGGGAGCTGACAAAGTATTTCTATACCAGCTCCAAGTGCATCCTAACATTACGAAAATTCTGGACCATTATGAAAAAGAGGGAAAGGTGAGTCACCTGAAAAAGTACCGATATCTTCTAGCACATTTAAACTAAAAGAAAATCAACGAATTTTCAATTATTATTACTATTAGGTGCAAGTTACTCCAATCACACTTGCCGGAATATTGCCGAACGCCCCTGCGCTTCAGCACTATTTCCTATCGAAAAAAACGAACCATAAGCGGCAAAACGAGCTAATTCCATATAACGACTGTTTCTACAAGAACATGTACAAGTACAAGTACATCGCCTTGTTAGATATCGATGAGGTGCGCATACTTACGTGACTTGATTCGTTGCAAATGTTGCTGTTGGTGCCGTTTCAGGTGATAATGCCCATAGAAGGGACCACGTGGAAAGACCTGATGGAGAACAAAGTGCTGCCGAAGGCCTTGAAAAGCAACAAAGAGGAAAGGGCCTCGTACAATGTGCGAAACGTCTATTTTCTGGACGATTTAATTCACGATCATGGGTAAGTGCGTGATCTACATAGAGACGAGCGTTGGTTGAGCCCAATTTCAGATGGTTCAAAGAAATTCCCAAGTACATGCATATGCTGCAGCACGTATACAGAACAAAGAACTTTACCAAACCGGGACAGTACGTAAAATGTTTCCATAACACCGAAAAAGTGCTGACTCTGCACAACCATTTTCCACTCAGCTGTTTGGGCAGCGGTTGCACCTCGTACCCCATCGAAACCACGGACGCTCAACTGCAGCATTACAGGTAAGTGTGTGTAAAGTAATCCTCTCATAAAATGAGAGGAAAAAGGAAAGTGTTCAATTTTCCCGGTCATTGTTTCAGGGCTGATTGCGTGAAAACTTTAAAGAAAAGCTGCGAAGAGTTCAGAAAAACCTCTGTCATGGATACGACTATCTGGAAGTTTAAAGAGCCCCTAATTCAAAGAGTGAGTTCCACACTTAAAACACTCGGATTCTTCAACAGCAATAACAACTCCGACATGCTTAAGGAAAGTAGCATTAGGAAACGGTAACAGAGCATCGTCTGAAGCGTCTTCAAGGCCTGAAGTATTAATGTTCCTCTATAAAAAAATTGTGGCTGACTTGTTTGCCTTCTACAATTGCAACGAGCCCAAAATATGACCTATTGTGATATACAGTTTAACACAATGAGAATTACTAAACGGTGCCTTTCAGATCTAACTTGTGCACGCTAGAATGTGCCTTACTTTTGGAAAATTGAAACGATTGCTCAAATCTTTTACACTTTGAAGTAGCGATAATTAAAGTATTTGGTTTTGTTAAATATGCGTGGTGTTGGATCAGTAGATTCGCCCACAAAGGTCGTGCCTTAAGCGTGCTCAAGTAAATTAGATTATTTGAGAGCATTTAAGCTCTCAGCATATTTCAGTCCAAACTAAGTGCTGAAAGTCCTTTTGGCTTCAAGTTTTTACCAAAATAATGAAAATAGGCTTTCCCATAACGATTCCACAATTCCCCGGCTGACTTGTTTATTCGTCTCATCGTTTAATGTCTGCCTTGGAATAGTCCTTAATATACAGGGTTATTCACGCTATACGGCACGGACGTTTGCGGCTAGCCCGTTTGTTTTTTGCAAAGTATTATTTGATAAATCCACAGACGCTTATCGGGTGCACATTTTAAAAATATTTTTGTAATGTACAGAGTGTCCCAAAAGCCCCAAAAGTATCAAAGTTGTGTTTTTCTAAATGAAACCTTATATTTTATTGCATTTTTGGATTCTCTGAGCAAAATAAGTGTTTGCTTTAATAAGATATATAATGTCTAAATCTAACGGTTTTTGAAATAATTCGAATTTTATCAAAATCTAATATTATTTTCATGTGTCAAATACTTGCGAATTATTTAGGTTATGTAAACGTAATTCGTAGGGTGGTGTAACAAGAAATCATATTTTATATTCCAATGATAATAAACTTACCATTTTATACAGGGCGTCCACAAATTTAAACTAATCAAATAAGAACTTTAAGTGGCTATAACTTGATTAATTTAAATGCAACCCCATATTTTTTAGCTTACCAGGAAATG